AACAGGAGACCCTATATCATTTCAGATAGGTGGCTCTTTAGTCTTTTCTTAAAAACCTCCAGTGATGAAGCCCCTACAACTTCTGAAGGCAAGCTGTTCCACTGGTTACCGTATTTTTCGGAGTATAAGACGCACCTTTTTTCCCCCCAAAAGAGGGTGAAAATCTGGGTCTTATACTCCAAATGTAGCCCCACCCAGCTTCTCAAATGGAGGTTTCAGAGGATGAAAAAAGCATCAGGAACAGATGCTTCAGAAAAAAAGCCCCCAGACAGAGCTTCAGAGACTTTTTTTCTGAAGTTCTGTTTCAGAGGCAGAAAAAAAGTTTTTTCTGAAACAGTTTCAGAAGTTTCAGAGGCAGGAAAAAAAGCAAAAAAAACAAAAACAAAAAAAAACAAGGCGCAGAGCTCACAACCAAGGAACCTGTTGCTAAAATTCACCTCTGGGAACAGCTGATTGGGGGTATTCCGGGAGGCTGATTCACCTGCCAATCAGCTTTTTTCTTATTTTCCTCCCCAAAAACTAAGGGGCGTCTTATACTCCGGTATGTTTTATACTCTGAAAAATACGGTAAAATCTTCTCACTGTTAGGAAGTTTCTCCTTAATTCCAGGTGGTTTCTCTTGATTAGTTTCCATCCATTGTTTCTTGTCTTGCCTTCTGGAGCTTTGGAAGATAAGCTGACCCTCTCTTCTTTGTGGCATCCCCTCAAATACTGGAATACTGCTATAATGTCATACCTAGCCCTTCTTTTCTCTAGACTTGCCATAACCAATTCCTGCAACCGTTTAATTATAGTTGCTCTTCTTTGCACTTTTTCCAAAGTTTCAACATCTTTTTTGTAACGTGGGAACCAAAACATTATAAAACTGAGGCTTTATAATGCGATATCAATATTTCACTTGAACCGGCTTGCAATCCCGTGTGCCCTCCTGGAATCAGCTTCTGGTTGATGAGCAAATGGCAGAGGTGGCTGGGAGGAGGGGAGGGGAGCTTTGTGCAGATCCATCTTGTGCCCAATTGCATCCTTTTCCTGGACTGAGAGTCCTTGCTCATGATCACTCTTGCCTTAGTCACTTCCCATTTGGATTAGTGGAATGCACTTTACATAGGGCTGCCCTTGAAGGCCACTTGAAAGTTGCACCTCGTCCAGAATTCAGTGGCCTATTAGGTGTTAATAGGTTTGCCTATACCTCTATGACCTGCACTTGCTCCCAGATTCTCTCTTGGTCCAATTTGATGGGCTGGTTATCTTAAAAGCCCTACATGGCGGGAGACCTGTAGAACCACCTCTATCTAAGAATATCTGCGTGTCCATTAGATAAGATACAATAGGCACACTCTAGATCAGGAGTGTCAAACTTGCAGCTGGATGTGTCATGTGCTGGCCACGCCCACCCCGGTTTAGCGAAGGAGAAAAAAGCTGTGATACATCACATGACGACGTGACAATGCGAGTTTGACATTCCTGCTCTAGAGCCTTTCCCTGAAATCCTTTCACTTAATAGGGCATCAGAAGGGTGCCTTTACCAAGGCCATCCCTAACCCTGGGAATGCCCCCCAACAATTCAACAACCCCCTCCCCATTTTAGCTTTTGGGAAGGCCATCAAGACCTGGCTTTTTACTCAGGATAGGAAAGAAAGGCATGAAACAAGGATCATTGTAGCTTACTAAGGAGCATCTTAAGGAGATAATTAAAGTTTTTATTTTTGTCTGATCTTTTTCCTGTTCTATGTTTCTTTTTATGGTTCTGTTGTGAGCTGCCCAGAGTTGTTTAAGACAGATGACCGTATAAACTTTAAATAAATAAAAATATTGGAGGTAAATAGGAAGTAGCACAAGGTATGCATAAACTTATTTCTTGGTCACTTAAGGGTTATTGCTTCTAGGCCAAGCATTAATTCTGAAAATAAATATAAGTTGCCATCAATCAATATGAGGTAAGATTCTCTAAAGAGAAAAATGAGCATTTGTTTATTGTTGCCTGGAATGAATTATTCGAGTATCTTAATATAGCAAGATGACCCAGTTCTTAAGTACTTGTCAAAATCAAAGCTTGAAAGTTTTGTATGAATCCTATTTTCATAGCTTGTTCAGGAGTCTTCCATGATTAAGTCTCTTGTCCTTTCTCATCCCCCAGTCATAAAAGCAAAAATAAGGGTTCTCTAAATCTCTCATAATGGAAGAAAGTTTTCTGTATTAAAAAGTTTTCCAGTTGATGTTCATGCAGTGCCAAAGGATTAGGAGTACCAGTTTTTATGTGATTTTTTAAAATACTCTTAGTGTGGACTTCTCAAAAGGAGTTGGATACACAAATTGTCGCTTACTACGTACTTATCTTTTGTAGTATTCAGTTATATGAGATATTAGGCACATTGATCTGAATCTTTAATAGACTCTAAAGTGGGGGAATCTAAATAATAGAATGTAGGATTATGTTAGTTAATTGCTGCAGTTATTTGAATAAAGCTGAAAAAATGAATATCCGTTCAGGGAATAAACCTAGATATCACTGAATTTCATTGAAAGTAATGGGATTTAAGTTTCTTTTTTTTAGTTTCAATGGGATCCAATAAAAAACAACTTCCAAGGGGAAAATTGTTAATACAGTCAGAGTAAGAACACAGAATATTGGCAACATAATAGATTCAGACTACTGCTTGAAAAGCAGTTTTGAAGAACTTATATCAATAAAGAGACCTGCTGATTAATCCAAATTGAAATGAAGACTACACACAGAGGAGAGTGAAATATCTATTTCAATGGCTTGTAATAATATCACTCATTAACAACTGGTAATGCCATTAATCAACTTTCCAGCAATGTTGTTATAGCCACCTGCTCCTGGAGGAAGGAGGAAAAAAAAAAAAAGGTTACGTCTTGAGGGAGAGGGGGAAGAGAATAAAATAGAAAAGATGTTTTGAACTTGAAACAAACCATTTCATTCTGGAATTTCTACCAAACTCATGCTTTGGCTGTAGTTTCAGCTGAAAGAAAACCCAAGAATGAAATTGGGTTGCTTTTATGGGGCAACTAAGGTTAGTTTGGCATCTGTCACCTTCTGGCCAGCCTGAATGCCTGCCTGCTTGCCCTTGAGCTCCCTGGCGCCTTCCTTTCCCTCTCCTCACCGTGTTATCAGCCACCATGGGCACTGCCAAGGTCTACAACTTTGTCCCAGACAAAATGACTTTGTTTTGCCTATTCCCCACCACAGCTGCTACTGTCCAGAACACCCAGGTTTGAGTCTAGACTACTAATATATATGTTATAATATATAGGTTTTATGTGTATTTCTGTCTAGCCAGGTTCCACCTACGTAAACCAAGATATTATGCTGCCCTGGTTCAGTGAAATCACAATTCACTAGTTTCTGGGCTTTATATATATATATAAATGTATGTATATATATGTATGTGTATATGTATGTGTATGTATGTATGATGTATGTATGTATTATTGTTTTAGCCAGGGTTTTTCCTACATAAATCAAGATGTTTATATAGCCATAGTTCAGTGAAATCCCAATTCACTGTTTTCTAGGCTTTATCAGACATTAACTAGCATTTTGCTGTCTGTTGTAAGACTTAAGGTTAATTAATGCTGGTTAATGTCTGATAAAGCCTAGAAAATAGTGAATTGGGATTTCACTGAACTATGGCTATATAAACATCTTGATTTACGTAGGAAAAACCCTGGCTAAAACAATAATACACATATAAACCTATGAAAAAAGAACTATATGTAGGTCTTTGGTTATTCGGGTTTTCTCCCGCATAAAATTGGAAGTGTCTTGGTGATGTTTCGACAAAGTCTCATTCGTCATCTTCAGGTGTTTTCGGCTTCGTGCTTCTAGGAGCAATGTGTGACTAACCTGAGCACAACCAAGCCCCCACCTAAACAGAACACCCCCCATCCAATCAGAGCACAGCCAAACCCCCACCCAATCAGAACACACCTCCACCCAATCAGAACACAGCCAAGCTCCCACCCAATCAGTTCACACCCTCACTGGCAGTTAAAAGGAAGAAACAGCTGCAATCACACATTGCTCCTAGAAGCACGAAGCCGAAAACACCAGCCTGAAGAGACTTCGTCAAAACATCGCCAAGACACTTCCAATTTTACGCGGGAGAAAATCCGAATAACCAAAGACCTACATACAAACCTGAGAAGCAAGTGGGCAGAGGTACTTAAGCAAGAGAAATTAGACACTTTTGAGGATATTTGGGACAAAGAAAGTGTCTTTAAATCTCTAATGTTAGTGGGTAAACCATGACTTACCACTGTCCAAGAAAATGCAGATTTTGTTTCCTAAAGGTTTTCTATCAATGATGTGGAATTTGAAGATTCACCAAACCTTTTCTTGCTGTATTCTTTAAAGACAAGAAATGGGACCAAAAATCAGAATCCCAACTGTGTGATAAAAGGCCCTGCCCTTTTTACATGCATTGGATGTAAAGGATATGCATGTTAAACAGTGGGCTTCTGATTACAATTGTGGGCACTATCTTCACTTATTTGACATACACATATTCCACTTATTGGCAATTTAGTTCTGATCTTTCCTTAGTTATAATCATCCCGTCTTCTTATACCATCTCCATCCATTTCTCCTTGGAGAGAGATTCCTGTGCAGGAACGTATAGATTTCTGTGGGTGATTACAGTTGGAGAGTGAAAGTGACTAGTGTACAGTGTTTTTGCAAACATTCTTCAGTCAAGGACCACTAAAAAAACTTTTGGGGAATGCAAGGCTACCCAGTCATCCAAATGCTCCTTGCTCGTATTTTTCATTTTTAAAAGCAGGAAAGTTCACATTTTGGCAAATAAAATAAGACACCCAAATTTTCAGCCTCTTTTAGGAGGGAAAAAAGTGTGTCTTATACTCCAAAAAATACGGTAGTGACTACTTCAAATACCAGAGGAAACCTCTAAAGCTTCTATGTGGATAACAGCATAAAATATGTTGAATTGTGCCATAGGTAACTACCACAAACACACCACTTCAGTTTCAGCATGCTTTATTTACAACATGTGATTCAAAGGGTCTTTGCTTTCCTGAAAAGATTATTAAACAAGAGGAAAAATAAGTTAATACATCACACATTTAAAATATTCCTTCATAGATTAACATTACACTTCCAGTAAGACTTCATTTAAGACTTCAGACAAATCTCAGTAAAATATATTCACAGCCATATTTATAAACAAAAGAACACAATTCAAGATTCCCACCCATCTACATGAATACACTGGTTTGTGGGGGGAGGGGGGCAGATTTGGTTATGATCCCTGGGTACACAAGATGAATGGAATGCGAGCGTGACTGCATCACAATTGTGCCATTAAGAAGCGTAGACAACACATGCTGGGACTATATATGCTGCCTTTGAAAGAATGAACCTGACCCTCACATCAGAACACATTTGGTATCACAATCCATACATCCGACCACAGGATGGAAAGTGCTGATCATGCGCTATAAATGCACTTGTGTATACACTTAATGGAAACATGTCTCCATGCCATCAATAGTTTGCCTTCCATTTCAAACAACGAACATGTTCTCAATTAAATATAGTGCAAATCAAACATTTAGGAGCAAAACAGGCAGATTCACCATGATGCACACCACTTATGTTTTTTTAAAATGGCCTCACTATATATCCACCAGAATACAATCTCTTGGCACACCATTCAAGACAGTGCTATCTAACGTTGAAGAATAACCGGTTCTTGACGAAGAGAATTCAAGGCCAGCAGGCAGCAGCCACGAAACAATGCTCCAAAAGTGAAGATTGGAATTGTTCCTCCCCTCCTAGTACTAAACATCCACATGATTGTTGGCACAATGGGGGCACCAATGGCCAACAGATCTATGAGGAAGTTGCTGCTCCAATACCTTTTGACAATGTTCCCTTCAGACATCTTTGTCACATTCGCAAGGGTTGTGGTGTGATAATCTATGAAATCCAGTTCCTTCATGACTCGGTTTTTGTAATATCGAGAATCCACGGGCCTGGGCATGGGTTCCAATGGAGATAAGAGGATAGCAGAATTTGGATCTGTGGGTGTCAAATCCACCAGCAAGTCTGAGATATTTTCAGGATGAGATACACTGGATTCCACCAAAACGGGAGATGGGTTGATTGGACAAACATCTTGTGCCTTGAATATGTTCTCAATCAGCTGCTCCATGCCTGACCTGTATAGCAATACATCAGCCTGAACAGCTTGTTCCATGGCTTCACTATGATTATCATCCTCTACTTGGGAGTTGCCTAGGCTTTGCACCAGATCCAGATGGTTGAAAGTAGAAGATGTAAAAAGAGCCGGGTGACCAAATTCAGGAGTAGTAGCAAACATGGTTTCTTCAAAAATGTCATTCCCATTCGCAACATCATCACTGAGCAGTACGCCGCTATCTGCCTCCACCGAATGGTTCTCTGTGAACATGCTGTCTTCCGTCTTGGAATAAGTTGTACTCATGCTGAAAGACTTGTCAGGTGACAAGTCACATTCATATTCTAGGCTCTGATCCTCACGAGAAGAGCCGTTCTGGGCCAATTCCATGCTCTGAAGCAAAGACTCTAATTTCTTATTCTGGATATTGATGTCCACAAAATACTTCTGAATCCCTTTGTCTTTCTCAGCCAAGCTATTTTTCATTGTTTCAATGACCTGCTTGAGTTGCTTAATCTCCTTCCGTGCTTCTTTCAAGGCAAGCTGGGCCTCCACGCGATGACATTCTTCTTCAATCCAGTCATCCCGCATGCGTGCCAGTTGAGATTTAAGTTCCTTGATTTCGCTTTCTCTAAGGAGGGGAAAAAAAAAAGTTATGCTCTTTTGAGATTCCAACTCTGAGGATTAAAAACATGGTGATTAATGAGGAAGCTGTAGGACAGTGGAGAGAGTTTTTCTTTTCTTTTGTTTGGGGACAGAATAACATAGATCAGTGACAGCTAACCTTTTTGCCATCGCGTGCCAAAAGCGGGGGATTGTGGGGGGGTTGCATGCGTACGTGACCACACCCATAATTCAATGCACTCTGCCTCCCCATGCATGCGCGCATGACCCCCTCGCACTCCCCCCACTTTTGGCATGCGATGGCACAGTGGGCCCATTTTTTTGCCCTCCCTAGGCTCCAGGGGCTTTCTTGGAGGCCGGAAACACTGTTTCCCAACTTCTGGTGGGACTGGAAATTATTTGGCTGGTGGGCGCATGCGCCCTGGAGCTGATCTAGGACAACGCTTGCGTGCCCACAGATATGGCTCTGTGTGCCGCCTGTGGCACGCGTGCCATAGGTTCGCCATCACGGACATAGATCATATGGCAAGTGTTTTTCACAGTCAACAGGAACAGCCTGGGAGACAACCTTCAGAGTTAGCTAAGACCTTTTTCCCCTGGGAGTCTGACAACCAATCAGGATACATTTCTTATACAGGAACAGGAAACACTAAGGTGGGGCCTAACAGAGGGTATAAAACTCAGGCACTCTCAGCATCTTCCCCCTTTTTTCCTTCACCCAACATCTTGAAACATGTGATCGCCTTTTCTTCCCAGGACCTCAAAACCATGTGGCCCTGTCTACCATTAAAACCATCTTTCCAAACAGTCTCCATGTTTCCAGTGTCTTTCTCCCCACTTGGAACTGAACCCAGAAGGACATTCCTTCTAACAAGGCAACCTGAAGTCCTTCAGATATTCTGGACAACAATTCCCACAATATTTTATTTTAGAAATTTAAAGTAAGAGGGTACAAGATTGCTTACTACTAGTTTACAGCACTAGATCAACCAAAGGTCTTTAGTCTTTCCCAACATTTATCTAGAGGTGCTACAAATTCAGAGCCTTTTGAATAAAATACATGTATCTATTTATCTCTCCAATGTTGATTTTTTCCCTTCTGAAATGGTCTGTCTCTCAATCTAGTTACTTAAGCTTCCAAAACATTGTTTAGAAAATCTGTAATTTAGGTTTATAATTGACATCTGTCTAGAAGATAATGGAAAATAGCCTAATCACAAACCTCCAAACAAACTTTGCCTTCTAGCCTTTGTTTCTAGCCAGAACTTTTACCTTTCTTGAAGTCTGCTCTCTGATTCCTTCAGTTTTGTTTTCAGGTGCCTCACTGTAACTTCCTTTTGTTGGAGAGGGGTCAGGTACTGTTCTGGACTGGGTGGCTTAATCCCATGGTTCTCACCGCAAGAATTGTATCGTACTGGCCGCCTGCAGTAGGGAAAAGTTTGTTATGCTTGCAGAATTGTGTGGTATTCTGCATAGGTGTCTTTAATTGCATTCCTATATGCCAGTGTTTCTCAATTTTAGCAATTTTAAGATGTGTGGACTTCAGTTCCCAAAATTCTGCAGCCAGTAATTATGGGAGTTAAAGTCCACAAATCATAAAATATGCATTTACCTCAAAATAAGCACTACTGAACTGGCTGCTTTTTTTTTTTTTTTTGAAGACCTCTCTCCCTCCCTCTCTCTCACACACGAGAGAGAGAGGGGGGAGGGAGGGAGAGAAAGAAAGAAAGGGAGGGAGGATGAGAAAGAAAGGAAGAACGAAAGAAAAAGAAAGAAAGAAAGAAAGAAAGAAAGAAAGAAAGAAAGAAAGAAAGAAAGAAAAAGAAAAGATTGATTTAATGCCAGATTGGGTTGAAACAATTCTTGAAATCTGGATATCTGGATTAATTTTTGGGAGATAGCAGGTCAATTTTAAACACTTTCCAATGAGGAATTGGCTTCAACAGAAAAGACAAGTTTTCTCTTGCTTTTTTTTTTTTTTAGAAAAACCACAATAAAGTCTTGCCTTAAGCACACCAAAATTACATTATCCAAATCCTTAATGTCCAATAGCTCAACAAGCCAAAAGTTAATCCACTGTATGTTAATCAGAGTAGCTACAACCCACTTACTCTATTTCTTGTAATTGTTAAAGAGTCCAAGGACTAATCACACTTGAAGCCAGAAGCTACACATTTGCTCCTGGTAAAAACTTCAGAACAAGCAACCAAAAGAATAGGTCAAGTAGGGGCAGAGATAGTTGAATTTAAGAGCAGCTCCACACAATGGAATTTTTTTTTTCTGAAGCAGATGCAGGCCAAGGAATGGAAAATGGTGTTAGATTACATCCCATCACACAAGGGAGATGGGTTCAAAAGGAAAGAAAAATAGTTAACACAGACATTAAGTTAGGAATGTGACCTTTTGAAAGATTCCTTCCTCCCAGGGGAGGAGAAAAAAGAAAATAGAAGAGCTTGTTCAAATGCTCAAAACAAAGCAACTCAAAGATCAAGAGATTTCATGGGCTTGAAATAATGTGCCCTGGAGAAACTCCAGTGGCAGCTAGAGATGAAAGAGTTTAAAGATTTGGGAAGTGGTAGGATAGCAAGGAGATAAATATTATAGAGGAGTTCACTTGCCTAAAAGTTGGGCTGTTATCATTTCCCTTGTATGAACCGGAATTGCTGCTGCTGGCTGAAGAGGCACCATAATTCTGATGGGGACTGACAGGGCTCAATTGATTTTTGCACAGCATCGACAAGAAGTCCTTCTCACGGACTGTGGTTGGAGGGCTGGACCCAGATTTATAAGGCAAAGAACCATGATTGCGGCCATGAGGTCCCCGGCTAAAAGAGACAACAGTGTCAACAATGAGTTACAGTACATCATATTAAAAAAAAAGACATGAAGCTATGACAGTTTTTACTGATTATCTTTGACAATAATTACCAAGATCTCTTTGGGTCACTTTTATCATGAACCAGGCAGCATATATATTTAAAATGCTTATTTTGAATCAATGTAGTTAGCAGAGACATTTACTGTATTTTTTCTCACTTAAGGAAGAATTTCTCTTTCAAGATGTCACTTGCAAATCTTTTAAATTATCAGTTTCTTCTGAGTTATTGTTTTAAAGGTAAAGGTAAAGGTTCCCCTTGCACATATGTGCTAGTCGTTCCTGACTCTAGGGGGCGGTACTCATCTCCGTTTCAAAGCCGAAGAGCCAGCGCTGTCTTAAGTTGTCTCCATGGTCATGTGGCCGGCATGACTAAACGCCAAAGGCGCACTGAACGCTGTTACTTTCCCACCAAAGGTGGTCCCTATTTTTCTACTTGCATTTTTTATGTGTTTTTGAACTGCTAGGTTGGTACAAACTGGGACAAGTAACGGGAGCTCACCCCATTATGCGTCACTAGGCATTCGAACTGCTGAACTGCCAACCTTTTGATCGACAAGCTCAGCATCTTAGCCACTGAGCTACCGCGTCCCCCGCATTATTGTTTTATTCACGCACAAATGTATGCCAATTAACTATACACCCATAGATTAAGTGGTTTATTGAACCAGTCCATGAGACTTTTACAATAAGTCAACTTTTCCTTTTTAAAATTTGTAAATGTGGATTCACAGAGTTCCTACCTGGTGGTTGCAAATACAGAAATTATTAACTGATATAGAGTTAATATGCTATAACAGAAAGACTTCCGGACTGGGAACAAAGCCATCAGAGTTTAAAACTCTGACTGGTGGCAGATGACACCTGGACAGTTTACAGACTCTGATTTATATCTGATCTGATCTTAGTCACAAACTAAGAATTCATAAAGTATATTTTGGAAAACAGATCACCATCTGAAATGTAGAAATCTTTATCATGTGTGAAGGGAGTATATGATGAGAGTTGATGTCATGCCTTGTGAAATTGTCCACCCTGTTGAATTAAAAATGTAGTAAGGAATAACTAAATGTCTAGAGATTCTCAGGCATCCAGGTCATGGTGGTCCCAAACTTCTTGGATAAGAAGCGAAACCTCTTCAAAAAAAAACCAGAAAGTCCAATTGCCTCTTGAAAAAGCACCTTTGGGTGGTAAGGAATACTTTACCTGTGTAGACTCCCTAAGGATTTTAATATGGCAATCAGGGTAAAACCAGTACAATAGTTTACTGATTGGGACTTTCCAAATTGTGTGAGCATCAATGCAAGACGTTCAACATTTTATGCAGAAATTTCACATAACCCTGTTGACATCTTGTGAAATGTTAACAAGTTTTCGGGATGCTTTGAAGTGGTTTAATGGGTCACAGACACACAAAAATAGATTTATTTATGGGGTCCCTAGTGATCTCTAAATTTGGTCGTTTTCTTACTATGTTTCATTACCAAACTAAGTAACACCATCACTTATCTACTGGCATGGATGAAGTTACCTAGTTTGGTAGTGAAACATCTGCAAGAAAACCACCAAGCTCAGAGAGCACCAAGGATCCCACAGTTCAACTCTGAGTTACATATACTCTCTTCTGTTGGTAGATATATGGTATTTATGTATTTAATTATTTAATTTATATTTCACCTTCCGGTTTGTGTGAATTGGTAAAGATTGATTAAAAATAACAAAATATACAAAATATAAAGAATAACAGGAAACTCAGTGCAATTAACATCAAAATTAAACGTTAAAATCAGGTTCATTCCAATAATCAAAGACTTGGTAAAAAGAAGTACGGTACATTTTGCCATTTTTCAAAGTTTTCTTGAAAAAAAAGTAGGCTTGCTAGTTGGGAAATTCTGAAAGTTGATGTCGAAGGTCTTAACATTGCTGAGATTGAGAAACATTGGTTTAGAGTTGCGTGCCTGTTTTTATTTAATAATTGCTCTAAATGACAGTGTGCAGAGGTCACCAGAGACAAAGCCACGATTGTAAATATCCATGGTCTATTCAGGCACCATGCCAGACTGTAAGCATACTTTCAGTGTTTTGTTTTTTTTATTGACTGCAAATCTAATTTTGAAAGCATGAGACCTTGATTTCTTAAAAGTCCATTTTTTAAAAAATGTTTTATTTCTAAGCATATTTCATAACAACATCATAGCATTGGCACAGTAATCAACCATGTGCATTTTGCTTTGACAACTGGTTGGAGAATCTATTCACTGGAAAATTATAGATCAAATAAATATTTATTATACTGTATTATGTTAGGCCTGTAATGTGAACACTGAACAAATTACACATGCTTGTTAAAAGTTTTCTCTCCCTCTCCCTCTCTCTGTGTATGTGTGTTTGTGTATGTATGTGTGAGTGTGTGCATGCACCCACGTCTAATAATTAAAACCGTATCTTCTGAAGTACAAAAATAAGCTGACAAATAATAGGCAGAATGCCTGGATGAGAAGTCAGCAGCCAAGAAGCAGAAAGTCTTAATTAAGGATCTCTTTGAACTGGTTTCCTCCACCCATGGCAAGGAACACTTTATATCATCCAGATGGTGGCATGGGTGTTTAGCACAGATGCATCTCCAGACAGAGGTTAGTGGCTTCAATCCCATTCGTTTCAAGAAAAGGAGAGCGGAGGAAGGGAAGAAGACGGCATAGCATTACCATCGCACTGAATGAATCTCTGGCCCTCATGCGGGAAAAGAAAAGCTGCACCGACAATTTTAAACTAGGAAGAAAATAGGCCCTCTGTTCCGCGCACATGGCATGGCCAAGATATTTTTGGCAGGCAGAGTTTAGCTCATTGATTCAAAGGCTCCATTAGAAAGGACGCAAACTAGGACTTTGGTGGAAAAGTAAAAGCCTAACCTCTGTTTTCCTTGCTTTGCTTCCTTGGTACTAATAAAAGGAGAATATTTGTAGCTCAGGATTGACATGAGGTGCTCTCTGAGCTTGCTTGTTTTCTTGCAGATTACGCAAACTAGGTAACATCGTCAGTGCTAGTAAAGGAGTGCTGTTTGCTGTCAGTTTATATTTTAGTGGCTTGCCTGCCAGTGTTGGTGGAAGTGATCTCAGAGATTCTTTGGTTGGGCTGTTTGCTGTTGGCTTCTTTGGCAGTTTCTTTTTTTTTTTAATAAGTTATTTATTTATTTTCATTTATTTCATTTATTTATTTTTCATTAAAAAACATATATAAACAATCCATCTCTCCTTAAACAGTGTGTCGTCTGAGTACAAATATTTCTGTGCAACATCCTTCCACAAATTATATACATTAAACAATTATACCTTGTGTAACTCTTCATTTCCTTCATAACGTATCTTCTAGTACAAATACAATAATAACATTTAGCATAGTTATTCTCATCATACTCATATTATCAATTGCCATTTTATTCTTATCTCTGTTTTAATATATTTTCTATTCTTATTGTCTTCTTCCTTTATTTCCAATTTCTTTTTTTCCCCCTCAAATCATTGGTAAAATACTTCCCATATCATATAATAATCAGTTTGTTCTTTCTCTTTAATTGCTAGTGTTAGTCTATTCATTTCTGCACATTCTAATATTTTCCTAATCTTCCTAACCTTCCCTTCACTAGGAATTTCTTCACTTTTCCAATATTGTGCAAATACAATTCTAGCTGCTATTAATACATGAATAATTAAATATATATTTTCTTCATTATAAGTTTCAGACAAGATCCCCAACAAAAATATTTCTGGTTTAAACTCAATATGTTGTTTTATCATCTTTTCCAACCATATCTTTATTTTTGTCCAATACTTCTTTGCTTCTCCACATGTCCACCATATATGGTAATAAGATCCAGGTATCTGGTGTAACTTCCAACATTTAGCTGATTTGTCTTTAAACATCTTTGCCAACCTCGCCGGTGGAAGATGTTTCTTTGGCAGTTTCTTGTTTTGGGGTATTCTTTACTTGATTGTTGGTGTGATGTTAACCTTGGAGTTAATCTATGCTGATTTGGGTGTTGATTGCTGGTAGAGAGATGCTTGGGTTGTTGTGTTGAATAATAGTCTCTTGTGCATGGCCTATAGATGTTATTAATGTCTACGTGACTATTGATGGCTGATTTGTCAGAGTGCCAAGATTCTAGAAATTCCCTGGCATTGTTGGACTTGGCTTGGTCTAGAATGGACACATTTTCCCTATTGAACTATGGTTAAAACTGTCTATATATGCTGTGAAGAATTTTCATCATGTCTTATGACTGCTAGTTGGGTGTTCATGGATGTGTTCGGACATTGATAGATAAGCCACTAGGACAGGGGTCGACAACCTTAAACACTCAAAGAGCCACAAAGGTCCTAACCGGAAGCCCCCCATTCAATTTTGGAGGTGACCGGAAGTCCAGTTCCCCCACCATAGAGTCTCCTCCTAGCATGGCATCCTTTTTCCTCTACCTGTCCTAACCAAAAGCCCTATCAATTGTGGAGCCGAGCGGTGACAAGGAGCCGCAGCAGAGGGATGAAAGAGCCACATGCGGCTCCAGAGCCACGGGTTGCTGACCCCTGCACTAGAATATAAACTGACAGCAAACTGCACACTCCTTACTAGCACTGATGATTTTCCTGCTTTGGGTAATGAAACATCTGCAAAAAAACAAGCAAGCTCGGAGAGCACCAAGGACCTCTTTTGCTTCCTTGGCTCAACTAATTTGTTGGGATTTGTCATCATGATAAACAGCTCCAGCTCAAACATCCAGAATTCTTTCTGAGACAAAGAAGGATTGGAATGGAAGCTGCCACGTTTTTCATGTAATTCAAACCAATTCTCACTGTAAAAGAATTTTTGTTAGAAAGAGGGGAAATCACCACCACAATTTGTACTTGGCCAGAACATAGTGAAAATAGTATGAATGTATCAGCATGTGTGTTTAAATGTAAAACAGATCAGCAGCAGCAGCTGAAAAAAGTAACTCTTGGCCATAAAACTGAAAAATCCAACAAATGAATGCAATATTAGCGGCTTGAAAAGTGAAAGTTCCCTTGAACTGAGCTTGGAAAGATATATAAAGTCTTCTTGACAAAACATGGACATTGCTTTCCTTTGATTTCCTTCAGAATGTTTTCAACTTCTTGTTTAGCCCTTGGATAGGACACCACCAGGATATTCCAAGGGTGCAAGCTACACTGGGAAGTTGAAAAACATCCTAAAAGAAAGCAAAGCAAAATATCTTCCATATAGTTATAGTAAAAAAACTCCTGTCAAGCGCCAGGGAAATCAGGAGATCCAGGCAGTTCAAATGGGTATCAAGATTTATTGTAAACTTAAGCTCTCTACAAGAATCTGAACTACTAACAGCCAAAGCAATTTGGCGATCGATAAGGAATTCATGGTGGATTGTACATAGATCTTTTGTAGGCTTGTAAGGACTCATAACTGATGACGCATTTGATCCCTTCCTCGGGCTCAACCTAGTCATCTCCTACAACTCCACTGAATGCTACTACCAGGTTCTACCTGCTTGATTTTTTGAGGCCAGACACGCCCAGCTAGATGATACAACTTTGCTGGATGAACACTCTATAGGCCTGCATCTCCCACACCCTGCTTTGCAATACAAAGTAAGAATTCTTTCATTTCTTAGTCACATTTTTTTGGTCCTTTTCAAAACACTTAGCTGATGACACAGACCATTTATCCATGAAAGCATTTGCCGTGATGTATTTGTCACCCATTAAGTAAAAAGATCCCAGTGGAAATGGAAAATGAACCTGAAAGCCAATCAAAATAGGCTCTTGCTAGAATTTGGATGGGGACTATCTAGAGTTCCAGGATTGTTGTTAAACTTCTGAGGACTTCCAGAAGTTTCAAACTTGCATTTCCCAACCTTGCAGTGAGATTTTTCACAAATTTAATAAGTAATAAAATAAAATAAACCTGATACTTTCTGTAGCTCCCAATGCTTTGTGGCCCCAAAGGAGTCACAACTTTGCACAACTTTTCAGCATGCAACAAGACACCTACTCAGACTGACAAAACCAGATGGGATGAAAGTTGTGCTGGCAGAGGGTTAATAGCATTAAAAGAATACAGTGAAGAGAACAAGGCCAACTGTTTCCTTGTTCTCTACATTCTAATTATTTATTACTCACTTTGTTGGGTTGTAAAATCAATGTGCAGAACCCATGACATCAGTGTTCTGCTTCAGTTTTATAACTTTAAGTGAGTTGTGGGTAATCTTTTAGTGGCCTGGATATCTTTTGATAGGTCCTAAAGCTGAAGTTGATGGGACACTGAGAAAAGTGGCTGAGACCAGAGGTGGTATTCAGCAGGTTCTGACCAGTTCTGGAGAACCGGTAGCGGAAATTTTGAGTAGTTCGGAGAACCGGTAAATACCACCTCTGACTGGCCCCACCCCCATCTATTCTCTGCCTCCCAAGTTCCAGCTGATCGGGAGGAAATGGGGATTTTGCAGTATCCTTCCCCTGGAATAGAGAGGGAATGGAGATTTTACAATATCTTTCCCCCGGAGTGGGAAGGGAATGGGAATTTTACAGTATCCTTCCCCTGGAGTGGGGAGGAATGGAGATTTTATAGTATCCTTCCCCTGGAGTGGGGAGGAATGGAGATTTTACAGTATCCTTCCCCTGGAGTGGGGAGGAATGGAGATTTTACAGTATCCTTCTCCTGCCACGCCCACCAAGCCATGCCACGCCCACCAAGCCACACCCACAGAACCGGTAGTAAATTTTTTTGAACCCCACCACTGGCTGAGACCCTCTCGCATCAGAGGAGACATATTTTAAATACTACACTACTTTGGGGAGGGATGGGGCTGTTTTCTTAATTTTAAGAACAACATTGAACATACTTTATTTTTTAAACTTCAGCTTTCAGGTGTCCTCTGCTTCAAAACAGGCAGGAAAATGAACCAAAAATGGAAACAATCTTTAAAGGGTCTCTCAGAAATACAAAAATGGACAGTAACAGTATCTAACAGTATCTTAAGATAATAATTTTCATGTAAATGTGAGACTCCGCTTTCTACTACAGATCACAGATGCAACTGTGGAAGACATGCATGGATAAAAGGGGCCATTGAAATTATTTTCCTTCTCTTCTATGCTCTAATACAGATAAGTCCTTGACTTACAACCATTCATTTAATGACTGTTCAAAGTTAAACCAGCACTGAAAAAAAGTATTTTTTTCATACTTTTTTCAAAATTTTCATACTTAATGACCGTTGCAGCATCCCCATGGTCATATGATCAAGATTTGGATGCTTGCCAACTGGCATGTATTTATGAATGTTGCAGTATCCCAGAGTTATAAGATCATCTTTTGCCACCCTCTGACAAGCAAAGTTAATGGGGAAGCTAGATTCACTTAACAACCATGTCACTTACTTAATAACTGCAGTGATTCACTTAACAACTGTGGCAAGAAAAGTTGTAAAATGGGGCAAAATTCACTTAACAACGGTCTTGCTTAGCAATGGAAGCTTTGGGCTCAAGTGTGGTCATAAGTCAAGGAATACTTCTAATGTCCTCACTTCACTATAAATAACCCAAATGAAACGGGGTAAAATGTTTTGACATACTTGCGGGAAAATGATGATCTTTTGTTTCCGGAACCAGCAGACATGTGAACTTCAGGAGCTGAAATGCTTCCTGTACTACTCGATGAACTAAAATCAGCTTCGCTTCCTGAAAAAGGAAAAGGGAGGAATAAATTTTGATGGAAATTCTAACTCAAAAGATTAATGTACGACATACAAGCCTCACTATGAATCACCACCATCATCCTGCCTGCCTTGAGACTTTCCCATCCTGCAATTTTGCAAAACTGGAAGGGCAGATCCCATTTTCAGATATTTTAACATTTCCCCAGGAATAAAGAACCGAGATAAAAATAGCTCTTCTACAAATTAAATGATTAAGCAAACAAATAAAATAAGTGGTTTCTTTTTCATTGTTATGAGCCGTCCTGAGAATATTTTTGTTTGAAGAGAAATTTATTGTAATAATAATAATAAAAAGAACATTTTAATTCATTTCTTGAACTTGAAAGCTATTTGTTTGCTTGGGTTCCTTTTGTTTAGCAGGAATAATGGAATCACTTGACATGTTAATGCACCTTGTGCTTTATAATAGCTGTTTCCAAAGAGACAGTCCCTTAAAAAAATCCAAAGTGTTCCTAACCTGAAAAAAGACTTCTTTTTAGATATTGAAAAGTTGCCAGCTGGGAGAAAAATCATGCTTGGCAATAGATCTTTCTTTTCTGTATGGCCCCCAACTCTATTGGCTATACAGTTTCATTTCTGGAATGAACATTTTCCCAAGGAACTCTGGATCTAAGCCCAAAGCTGCAATCAAACTTAAATTTATATTGTGTTTTCTGCTATGGTTGATTAAGTTTTCCTTTGCCCAGTGTCTTGTATTGTTTTTTTCTATCGCTTTTATATATTTCAGGTTTTACGGACTTTAGCTGCCTATTCAATCTGATTAAGATGGCTTGGAGCAGGGGTGAAATCCAGCAGGTTCTGACAGGTTCTGGAGAACCGGTAGTGGAAATTCTGAGCAGTTCGGAGCAACGGCAAATACCACCTCTGGCTGGCCCCAGAGTGGGAATGGAGATTTTGCAGTATCCTTCCCCTGGATTGGGGTGGGGATGGAGATTTTGCAGTATACTTCCCCTGGAGTGGGATGGGAATTGATATTTTTGCAGTATCCTTCCCTGCCATGCCCACCAAGCCACACCCACCAAGCCTCACCCACAGAACTGGTAGTAAAAAAAAAATTGGATTTCACCACTGGGTTGGAGCCATATAAATTCCCATAATAAATAATTAAATATCTACTTGATTTAGGAAGGGCAGCCAGTGGCATACCATCCACTTCCAGCTGTCTAAAATCACACTCCCCAAATTCAGAGGTAAAACATTAACTTTAAAGTGGTACATATTTTTTTTAGATTTTTTAAAAGAAAGGATAGTATATAGGCACACCAAATCTCCATTGTGTTTACCATTAACTTTTTTTAAAAAACCCAAACAGGCACATGTTCTTCCTCTATTAATGTCAGTGCATCTCTGGTTCTTTTTTCAGATGAACCTATACCACATAACCTTGACTTCATAGTATAGTCTTAAAAGTGTTTATTTGGAAGACTGCTCTTCTGTATTAAATTAAATGGAATGGAGCAGGTGTGTCAAATTCAAGGCCCATGGGCCAGATTTGCCAAACGGCCCACCCGAGCTCCGTTTTCACTGGCAGAGGCAATGCAGGCCGGTCCTTTGCTGTTTCCATGGCGGCCCCACGGGCCAGATCTAAGCACCCCAGGGCCGGATTCGGAGCCGCCATGGAAACAGCAAAGGACCGGCCTGCATTGCCTCTGCCAGTGAAAACGGAGCTCGGATGGGCCATATGTGGCCCTCCTGGGCTTGTTTTCACTAGCAAAGGGTTGAAGAAGGCCATCACAGCCAGAAACGGAGCTGAGGAGCCTGTTTTTGCTGGCAGAGCACTCGGGCCACCACAGGTGCCCCTGGTACGAGTGATGTCGAGCTGGCCACGCCCCCTGTCTCTCCCCCCAGGTCAAACACAACCCTGATGCGGCCCTCAATGAAATCAAGTTTGACACCCCTGGAATGGAGCCAGTGGCATGTTATTCCGGCTGCAGCTAATATCTCAATCTCTTCAGTGGACTACCATGAATAAGAAGATTCCTGATAGTAATAGAGAACATAGAATAATAGGGTTAGATCTCCCTCTAATGAGCTTCCTGTAGAGTGTAGACAAAGGATCAGGGAGAATTGACTCATAGAACATAGAATAATAGCGTTAGAAGGGAGCTTGGAGGTCTTCTATTCAACCCCTTGCCCATGGCAGGAGATCCTAATGGCTCTTCAATCTCTTTTTAAAAGCCTCCAGTGATGGAGCACCCACTTCTGGAGGCAAACCATTCCATTGATGAATTGTTCTAACTGTCAGGAAATTTATCTTTAGTTCTAGGTTGGATCTCTCCTTGGTAAGTTTCCATCCATTACTTCTTGTTCTATCCGCTAGTGCTTTGGAGAATAAGTTGACCCCCTCTTCTCTAGATAGCCTGTCAAGTACTGGAAGACTGCTATTATGTCACCCCTACTCAGTGGTGGGTTCCTCCCAGTTCCTCCCGGTTCCGCCGAGCCGGTAGCGGTGACGATATGATGTCACCGAACTGGTTCTCCCCCCACCTCCTCCTGTTATTCTTACCTTTATTTGGCCCCACCCCAAATCTATTGCTGCCTCCTGAGTCCCAGCTAAGAGCTAGAGGGAAAAAAACTGTTTAAACTCTTGCCGCGGGGCTTCAAAGGGCCGCCCTACAGCTGATCAGTGTTAAAAGAAAACAAATGAGTAGACCGGTGTCTGCAAAAATAAATGGATAGACCAGTGCCTGCAAAAATACATGAGTAGGCCAATGCCTGCAAAAATAAATGGGTAGACCGATGCCTGCAAAAATACATGAGTAGACCAATGCCTGCAAAAATAAATGGGTAGACCAGTGCCTGCAAAAATAAATGGGTAGATCTGACAGCTCTGCAAGGAGTTAAAAGCCTGGTAGACCAGTACCTCTGCTAAATCCTAAATAATTGTCACATGACCATCAAGCCACGCCCACAAAATAAGCCACGCCAACAGAACCGATAGTAAAAGAATTTAGAACTCACCCCGCCCCTACTCCTTCTCTTTGTTAGACTAGACATACCTCATTTCTTCTAACATAATATTATTATTCAACTTAACTATCATATTATTGCTCTTTGGATGAAGAAACTTATCTGCTGTGAGAATGCCATGTGATAAAATATTAATTTTGATTTACTGAATTAACTAACTGGTAGGGGTTAACTACTGAAAAGAATAAATCAGAGTTAAAATATCCCAGCAAAGGGTACAAATACAGACAGAGAGACTTCTATATGTACAGGATTTATACTGTAATGACTTGGAAAAATATTATAGTGTGTGATGACATGGGAAAAATGTTCAGTAATGCAGAAGAAGAACAAGAAAAGTAAACAAGCAGGCTTGAAGTTATGCTCTGGGTCAACCTTTTGGATATTTTAGAATAAACAACAGATTATGTAAAGTGTTTATAGGTCCAGTTTCATATTTATGTTGGCTCAAAGTTTTCCTAGATTGTTAAAGAGGAAAAGACGTCCTAAAATACTATGTTTTTCCCCATGAATCACAAAGCTTTCAATTTGAACTAGGAAAAAAAAATGTAACAGAGGGGTTGGGCAGAATAATTTTTTCTTAATAATAAATACAGATAATTCTCACTGTTATGACCACAATGGAGCCTAACATTTCTGTTGCTAAGTGAAACATTTGTTAAGTGAGTTTTGCCCCACTATATGACTATTTTTTTCCACAGTTGTTCAGTGAATCACTGCAGCTGGTTAAGTTAGAAACACGGTTGTTAAGTGAAACTAGTTTCCCCATTGACTCTGCTTGTCAGAAGGTCGCAAAAGGTGATCACATGATCCCGGGACAACTGCAACCGTCATAAGTATGAGTCAGTTGCTAAGTATCTGAATTGTGATCATGTGACCATGGGGATGCTGCAATGGACATAAATGTGAAAAAGGTCATAAGTCACTTTTTTTTTGTGATGTAACTTTGAACGGTCACTAAATGAATTGTTGCAAGTCAAGGACTACCTGTAAAGCATAGCAAGCAGCTCTGTGGCAGCTTTATCTATCTCACCTTTTCCTGTTGTCTCAAGGTTTCAGAAACACTCTTATATCAATTTATTTTCTACGTGCATAGCTGCACCCTTTCCTCTGCATGCCCTCTTCTCAGTTTTAACACCCCTCTTACTTTAACTTCCTAGTAGTTTTATGATGCCACCAGAACAGAATATGGGGATTGATTTTTGTCTTTGTAATAATCACACTGAGGCCAAAAAGACCAGGGAACTTTCACCATCAAAATCTCTCATCATTTCTGCGCCCGATTTCCAGAGGTAGCTTCTTCAAAAAATACAAAGACGAGACCTTACACAGAAGATAATTTAAACAACGTTGGCCTCTTTTGCTTACATTTGGGATTGTGTATTTACTCAAGGTTTCCAGAATAGCTGGGGGGGGGGCAAACTCTTCACAAAAAGAAAAGCCTGTGAGATTCTCTCGTAAAGGGATGTGTAATTTATGTATTCCGTGGAACATAGTTTTATCCTGGTGTCTCCATGGAGACAGATCACTTAGTAACCCCTCACATCAGAGTAACTGGTAAGCAAACCTACCCAGTACCATAGCAACCGACTCTACTAAAAAGTAGCCTATCAGCAATGGAGTATTCTCATGAGTAGCAGTTGCATCCCATTATTATGCTCTGCAGGCTAGCTTCATCAAAAAGTCCACATTCCCTTTGACGAAGGTGCTAGAGAAGACAAGGGATAGAACAAGTCAAAAGAACCCAGACCAATAGGAAAAGGCTGCCTGTTAGGAGCAAATTAATCTATTTTATTTGTTCTCTGTGCAACTGGTGATTAGTGGCTGCAGCAATGTGCTGGAAGAAATACAAGTAAAATAAGGGTTTTTAAAAAACCATCTATAATGTATATCAAGCTGTGATGTTTATTTGGCCCTCTGAAGGTCTTGAATTCCCTAGATTTAAGGGCATGTCTACTGAAAGGGTAAAAAATACTTGTAATTCCAATATAG